CGGACATAGGTAGGGAGTTCCTGGACCAAGGGGGAGAAAATGGAGTCCAGATAGTTGGAGATCAGTTCGGTGGGGCATGAGCAGGCGGAGACAATGGGTCGACCAGGGCATTCAGGTTTGTGGATTTTGGGAAGGAGATAGAAGCGGGCAGTGCGAGGTTGGGGAACGATGAGGTTGGAGGCCGTGGGTGGGAGGTCACCTGAGGTGATGAGGTTGTGGATGGTTTGGGAGATAATGGTTTGGTGCTCAGGGTTGGGGTCATGATCAAGGGGGCGGTAGGAGGAGGTGTCGGAGAGTTGGCGTCTGGCCTCGGCGATGTAGAGGTCAGTGCGCCATACTACAACTGCGCCTCCCTTGTCCGCGGGTTTTATGGTGAGGTTGGGATTGGAGCGGAGGGAGTGGAGGGCTGCACGTTCTGCGGGGGAGAAGTTGGAGTGGGTGAGAGGGGTGGAGAGGTTGAGGCGATTGATGTCTCGACGGCAGTTGGAGATGAAGAGGTTGAGGGAGGGTAGGAGGCCTTGGGGTGGTGTCCAGGAGGAGGGGGTGTGTTGGAAGCGGGAGAAGGGGTCAGTAGAGGGAGGGTTAGGTTCACGGTTGAAGAAGTAAGCGTGGAGGTGGAGGCGGAGGAAAAACTGCTCTATGTCCAAGCGTGAGCGGTATTCGTTGATCTGTGGGTGGAGGGGGACAAAGGTGAGCCCTTTACTGAGGACTGACCGTTCGTCCTCAGTAAGGGGGAGGTCTGGAGGGATGGTGAAGACTCGGCAGGGCTGGGTGCTGCTGTCTGCTCTGGAGCTGCTGGCTGTGGAGGCTGTGGGCGGAGTTGCGTCGGCGTCGGCGGTGGGCGGAGATGCGCCGGCGGTGGGTGGAGTTGTGCCAGCGTCGGCGGTGGGTGGAGTTGCGCCGGCGGTGGGTGGAGTTGCGTCCGCGTCAGTGATGCGCGGAGCGGCATCGGAGGTAGGAGGAGCGGGGTAGGCGGCGGCAGTAGCGATGTGGGTGGTCGCGACTTCAGTGTCGGTGGCAACGGCAGCAATGACGTTCGCTGTCCCGGAAGTGGGGAACCCGGCGGTGGCGGATGTGACGTCATCTGTGGGTTCTCCGATAGTGGCCTCATGGCCAATGGCGGCGGGCACATTGTGGGGAAGGTCCTGGGTACGGCTGGGGATTTGGGGGGTGGAGGTATACTGCATCCGCTGTACCCGGTGTGGCTACCTCTACATCGGGGAAACCAAGCGGAGGCTCGGGGACTGCTTTGCAGAACACCTATGCTCGGTTCGCAATAAACAACTGCACCTCCCAGTCGCGAACCATTTCAACTCCCCCTCCCATTCCTCAGACGACATGTCCATCCTGGGCCTCCTGCAGTGCCACAATGATGCCACCCGAAGGTTGCAGGAACAGCAACTCATATTCGGCTTGGGAACCCTGCAGCCCAATGGTATCAATGTGGATTTCACAAGTTTCAAAATCTCCCCTCCCCTACCGCATCCCAAAACCAGTCCAGCTCGTCCCTGCCTCCCTAACCTGTTCTTCCTCCCACCTGTCCCCTCCTCCCACCTATCCCCTCCTCCCACCTCAAGCCACACCTCCATCTCCCACTGACCAACCTCATCCCGCCCCCTTGACCTGTCTGTCCTCCCTGGACAGGCTGGAGATGCAGCCTGGTCCAGTCCATAATTTGGGTGCATGTCGCTAAGCACAAAGTGTTCTCACTGCAAAATACAATGATAGTTGCCATTGCACTCCAAAGTGCAGCACTGAGGTGAAGAAGGCACTGTATAATGTACCTTTGAGGTTGACATGTGTCAGACACCGTTGTCCATAAATGTGGGGTGTATGTGACCAATGCCTACGGTACCCTGAGATGTTGGTGACTGGTATACAATATGGTTTTTGGAGCAAGTAGCAAGCTGAAGTCACCAAGTAGCCACTGATTTCCACATTGAGAATTCTCAATGTCTAGATTTTCCTTTGGGTGGCAGGATAGGAAGTTACATCGTAATAGGGTAAGATATGCAATTGATAAGGTCATCAACATGCAAATAAGCCCCTTTAATAGGCAGCTCACTGCTGCTCCCAACACCTTGAAATTAGTTAAAGGATACAGCGAGATGTTCCTGACAATGAGACAGACCTCTGTGAGCTTTTTGTTTTGCATAATCCTGCCACAATTTTCACCACAGCCTACATTATTCAGGCCTGTATAAGATTGTCCTTAATCTTCTTACTACAGCTTTTGCACTTCTGGGGAGTGTCCATTCATTTCTTTTTACGTTGTAATGCCCCACCTCTTCCTCAGAATTCCATGACACCACAGCGACTCCACTTGCTCAACATCTGCATCTTTGGAGGATTAATTTACGCAAGGGGCAGTACAACGCTCTCTAAAAGAAAATGAGTTCACCTAAAACGCATCCATGTCACTCAAAAATCTGATGTGAGACTTGCTCAATACTGAAACAACCAGTGTGCATTCAAAAGACTTTCTCAATAAATGAATTGGGTGCTTGAAGCTGTGTTAAGTCTAGGTTCCATGGTACAGTAGTTTAAAATAAAATGATATAAGCAAATATACCTCTGACGTTTTTGCCCTTACTTGTTATTGCCAGTTAGGCCCTCAGGGAAATATGGTAAATAAAGACAGAGATCTCCTTGTCAATTCTGATAGCACGTTTGCCCCGATGCGCATAGAATAATTTCCAATAATTTCCCCTTTTGACTATAATGACGGGGGAAAACACGTACGGCGTCAGGCAAGCGCTACTATCCTGTAAATTTCTACACCTCAGTTGTGTTGGTATTTATTGACTAGTCATACGGGAAGGTAATCGCTGATATGTGCTGGGGTCACGTTCACCTGCAATGATTCCTATATGTATCACAGCATGTGATAACTTGGTGGGGGGCGGGGTTTGTTTGGATAACTCCACCGTCCTACTCCATCGTGAGTCATCCAGCAGCCCGGAAGTAGGCGGGGATCCCACTCGACACATTTAGAGAGCAAGCCGTGAGGAGATCGACTTTGCACCGGCTTCCAGCAAGCAGCGTAACTCCGGCTCTCAAACCCAACAATGCTGTTCACGCTGCTCAAAGTGGCTGTGCTCCTCCTGAGTGTGGATTGCGAACCGGCTGCCCAAAGAAAAGGTAAATACAGTGTGGAGGATCAGAGTTCCATGTGACTAATCACTGTGACAAGAGTCATAGCGCGCAGAGAATCCTGAGAGGTGTAGATCCTTTTTACAGAAAGTTTGGACTGGATCGCTGTTTTAAGTGTGAGCACCCCTTGGTAGGAGTGATGGATGCACACACTGGTGAAACTAGCACCTCTGAATACCAGCATCCTGGAAGCCTGAAATAAAAATAGAAAATGTTCGAGTACCCAGAAAATCTGGAGAAAAGAGATCCATTATCTCTATTAACTCTAATGTCTCTACGGATGTTACCTGGCTTGCTGAGTACTTTCCCCAGTATTTTCTGTTTATATTAAAGATTTGAACAACTGACTTCTGTTTGACTTAGAATCATAACTGGCATGAGACAGAGTGGCATAAAGTTGCAACTTAGTATTGGGTTCTGGTGGAATATAGGAATGGTGCAACGATAGTCGATTAGCGGACTAGTATCATTGCAATACTTTATAAGTATGGCTACATGGTTTCAATGTTTAATTTCACTCGCCACATGATACTTAATAACATGCGCATAGTGAGAAGAAACTTTAAAATATAAATTTATATAGCGTTTTTCACCACGTTGGCCAGTGAACTGCTTTAATGTGTAGTCTTCTAGGTAACATCAGTTAATCATTTTCAGTCGTGTAGTGTTCCAGAAAGAACTGAACACGCTGCTGTTGGCACTCGTAGTGTTTGTCACTGTTTCATTTTTGCCTTCGTTCTCCTGATGAAACACTAATTTATTTAAACCTCGTACTTTGTACAAATGTGAATATTTATGTTTTCTATATGTTTGCAAGATGCACAATTTATCAACTTCATTATTGACTTTTTTTCAAGGAAGCATTTAAAATGTTTTGTGAAAATTGGAATAGAGATATGGTTACCACTGAGGAAGGCTGACAGCATAAAAAGATAACAAATCTGTAGAATGCATTATAAGTCACTGTGGGACAGTGCAGTTTGCTAAGAGCTGTGAGTGGACTACTCTTAGAAAAATAAAGGCTGAATGTGCTGAAGGAATAACGTGACCTAGAGAGATAAATTCACAAATGATTTAAATCAAAAGAATGCAGCTATAAATGAAAAAGAAAAGGTTCTTTTCTGAAGAAACAGAATTCAGAAGTGGAAAAGTTTATGTTAAACTTGTACAGAACCTTGGCTAGATGACACTTAGTTATGGTCTCCATATTGCTGGAAGGATATAGAGACACTGATGAAAGTTCAAAAATAAAGGACACTAGAACAGAACTGTTATAAAAATAAGGAAAGATTGGATAAGATGGGTCTTCATTTTTTGTTTTGAAAATTGAGGCATGTCAGCTGACCTGATAGAAGTCTTTAAAATTGTGAAACAGTTCAATAGAGTAGACATGGAGAAGATCTTTCATGTTTTGGACAAGTCCAAACTAACAGCTGTTAATACAGATAACGATCTATAAATCAAATGGAAAAAAAAAATCTTCTTTTCTCAGAGAGTGGCTAGAGTGCAGAACACTCTACAACATGGAATAGTTGAGGTAAGTATTAAGGGGAAGCTAGATAAATAGATCAGGAAGAAAAAGAATTGGAAGATTTATTAATAGATTGAGATGATGTAATGTCTGAAGAAGCTTGTGTGGAATATAAAATCATCAAATTGTATTTACTGTAATAGACCATGTGACATCATGTATTTGCAGCAGCCATAAGAAACTTTTTTTTTGGAGAAGTATTTTCCTTGTTCTTTCAGTGAAATATTAAATTGTTGATTCCAAGGACAAAGAGGTTGGGTATTGTAATCTGTGGGACATCTGTAACTTTCACAGAAGTGTTCCTTAATATCTAGAAATGAGTAGCACTGATGTAGTAATTTGATTCAGAGTATATTTAATTTGAACAGCAAAATCAGTATGCTGTCCTAGGAATACTGTTACTTAGCACTGTAGAGTTAACAAAGAATCGATGTCTAGGAGACCTACACAGAATTATTGAGGAAATTTATGGAATGAGGAAATACGGATAAAGACAGGACATTTACTTGTGATTTGGAATTATAAATCTTTCAGTTTTATATTTTTCAGGGCTATATATTATTCAGTTTTAAAGTACATTGACCTGGAAGAGTTTAATATATTGGAAGATCAAATGATTTTATTTTTGGATGCCATTCCAGTATCGTGCCAACAAGGATCAGATTTGAAAGCAGCTATGATATTAGCTATCACGTTATAAGACAAACGTGCAACAACAGGTAGAATAAATTGTTATTTGCGGAGCTGTTTGAACACTTTCATGATTTTTTTTTTTTAGGTAATTCCCAAATGAAGCAGTGGAGAATAAGTATTACATTAAATATTGCTACTGTCTTGCATTTTTCAGGGCAATAGCAATATCATAATGAGTGGAAAAAGTAACGGGACATTTGAATTCTTCTACATTTTCTAACTATAAATTTACATATGTCATCTGCTCTGATCAAAATACAATATACATGTACATTTAGGAAATGCTAGCTGTGCAAAGTACAGGATTGACTCTAATCCTTAAACTCCTGTCCACTTCGGGTGATCCACAGAAGCAGAATGAATTATGCCGATTTGTGTCTGACAAGTTATTTATAGACTATAAGATCCTAAGATGTCTTGACAGGGTGAATGTAAGAATGTTGTTTACTGTTGTGGGAGAATCTAGAATTAGGAGTCTGTCTAAAAACAAAGGGTCAGCTTTTTCAGATAGATGTGAGTAGAAATTTTTTTTCCTCAGATTTGTGTGTCTTTGGAACTCTCTTTTCTCTAAAAGGGAGCAAAAACAAAAGTAGGTGGATTCTTGACAAGGAAAGGGATGAAAAGTTGTCTTGGGTAGGTAGGAATGTGGAATAATTAGATCAGCCATGATCTATTTGAATGATGGTGCATGCTGAAGGGACTGAGTGGCTCACTCCTGCTCCTAATTTTTGTGCCTGACTTAGTGAAGTGCATTACAACAGCAAATTACTTCATTGGCTGTAGGTGGTTTTGGATATCCTAAGGTAGTGAAAGAATGCATGTTTTTGCTGCGGTCCTTAGTTAGAGTTTGTACATTGAAGCTGATCCAGGTAGAATCCAGCACAAGAGAACTTAAATTAATGTACCTTTATGATATTGCTACACATTGTGAACATGTTTTCAGAGCATCAACAGGTTTTGGATCCTCACTGGGATACAAAAGCACTGTGTGAGATGATGATCAGGATATCTGAATGCTATTATCATAGTGCATTAGAGCATTTTTAAAGTTAGAAAATGACCTCATTCCTGCATTGAAATTGAAGTGTGGTAGAATCTCACTCAACAATTAGAAAATGGATGAGAACTGGTGGTCATATAGAACAAGTCAGTTCTGGCCTTGTGACTCTGCTCTCAAATGATAATATGTAAACCTGAAATCAATTTTTCCAAAATGTGTTTTTTTTTTTCCCCTGAAATGTAAATATGTACAGATTAGTCTCCACCTTTTAGAGCAAGCTATTTCTAAACTAGCATTAGGCTACCAACAGATAAACCGCTTTTAACAGCTGTGCAAGATGCAGAAAATTACAGTGAATACTTTTTTTAGTTTTGAGTTATTGGCTTGTCCAGACCTGTATGCTATTCAGAAAAGCTACATTAGGAGAACTGAATTTAAAAGTGACACTAAAAGTATACAGGAGTTTGGAAAAAATAGCTCTCAACTTCTATTAGGATGCAAGAGCTTTTGTAATATTTTATAGCTCCCAAATACTTACAGCACAGGAACAGACCCTTCGGCCCTCCAAGCCCACGCCAGCACATTTTGCCCTTCCATAGTAAAATTGTCTTCACTTACAGGATCCGTATCCCTCTATTCCCTTCCTATTCAAGTATTTGTCCAAAAGCTTCTTGAATGCTGCTATTGTGTCTACTTCCACCACCTCCTCTGGCTGCATGTTCCAGGCACTCACCACCCTTTGAAAAACTTGCTTCACACATCTCTTTTAAACATCCCCCCCCTCGCACTTTGAACCTGTGTCCCCTAGTAATTGACCCCTCCACCCTGGGATAAAGCCTCGTACTTTCCATTCTATCAATGCCATTTATAATCTTTTAAACTTCTAACAGGTTGCCCCTCAACTGCCTGTGTTCCAGTGAAAACAAACCAAGTCTATCCAACCTTTCCTCATAACTAAAATTCCCCCATACCAGGCAACATCCTGGTAATTTTTTTTTTCTGTATAAAGCATCTCGAAAGCAACTCCAAAGCATCCACATCCTTCTGGCAGTGTGGTGGCCAGAACTGTACGCAATATTCCAAGTGTGGCCTAATTAAAGTAGTCAAAGAATAGAATCCCTACAGTGTGGAAACAGACCCTTCAGCCCCAACAAGTCCACACTGACCCTCAGAGCATCCCACCCGGACCCATCCCCCTATAACACACCTAATTTACATATCCCTGAACACTACAGGCAATTTAGCATGGCCAATCCACCTAGCCTGCACATCTTTGGACTGTGGGAGGATACTGGAGTACCCGGAGGAAACCCACGCAAACATGGGGAGAATGTGCAAACTCCACACAGACAGTTGCCCGAGGGTGGAACTGAACCCAGGTCCCTGGCGCTGTGAGGCAGCAGTGCTAACCACTGTGCCACTGTGCCACACCGTGCAGCTGTAAAGCTGCAGCATAACTTGTCTATCCTTACACTCAATGGCCCTTCCAATGAAGGTAAGCATGCCAAAGTCTTTTTTAATACCTTATCTACCTGTGCTGCCACCTTCAGTGATCTGTGAATCTGCACACCCAGATCCCTCTACCTATCAATACTCCTAAGAGTTCTGCCACTCACTGTATAATTTCCACCTGTAATTGACCTTCCAAAGGGCATCACCTCGCATTTGTCCAGATTAAACTCCAGCTGCCATTTTTCTGCCCATGTCTCCAACTGATCTATATCCTGCTGTATCCTCTGACAATCCTCCTCACTATCTGCAACTCTACCCATCTCTGTATCGTTTGAAAACATACTAATTAGGCCAGCTTTATTTTGCTCCAAATCATTTATGTAGACCACGGACAGCGGAGATCCCAGCACCGATCCTGTGGAACCTCACTCGTAACAACTCTTCCTCCCCGAAAAGCATCCTTCCACCACTACCCTCTGTCTCCTATGACTAAGCCTGTTCTGTATCCGTCTTGTCAGCTCACCCCGATACCATTCAATTTAATTTTTTGTAGTTATAGTTTGTTGAATTCATGTCACTAATATGAATTTGAGGCAGCTGAACTACCAGATAACTTAGCAAGGAAGGAGTACTGCTGGATCTCTTTGTTTCTTTGTTTGTTCTTAATTATTTGTTTCTATGCTTTCTACCCCCTCCCTAGGTAGAACTTGACCACATTTTGAACTACATTTAACTCCTTGCCAGAAGTGGGGTTAAGGAAACTGCCCTCATTCTCTGCCTTCCTCTATCATGTTACCTTTGCTATGTGTGTGAAGAGGGCTAGTGGCTATTGTATCCACTCAGTTTATAATTGGTGCAGCTGCAGATCAGTCAGAACTTAGCATGCAGGGGAAAAGTAGTTCTCCCACGAGAAGCTCCATTTAAGAGTGGTGTCCATATGTGGTTCCATTTTAATAGGTTGTGGCACGTAAGAAATGGGCCATGAATGGCGAAGAGAAATTAGAAGGAATATTAATGGTGGTACTTCCTCAATAGCAGCATGAAGACTCTGAGTGAGAGAGCAGACGCCTGGTAAACATTCCCTCTTTCTTTTCATTTCTAACACCAGGAGGTACACAAAATTCCTGCAAGTCTTTTGAAGAATACCTACCTCTTTAGATTTTGCTCATTCATATTGAGGATGCTGCAAAGCTTACCCTGATGCAAACATCTCTGAGGAGTGAAATATTCACTAGGAACCCACCGTATAACTTTTAAAAACTGAGAAATTTAGTCAGAGTCATGGCAGGGTGAAAATGGTGAAAGGCAGACTTAATTTTTTCTTAATATTTCCACTGCAGTACTTCTGACTTGTAAAATACCACCTTACAAAGGAATCAACGAATATTGTAGCATCTTTGGGATATTTTTGTACTGTAATTGTAGTAAATATATTCAATGTATCAAGCAGTGGGATTTTTATAAGGAAGAATGTTTGTCTCAATCCTCATGCATTAATCCTAAGCAGTTTTGTGGCAGCACTCAAGGGAGCTTCGCTGGTTTCCGAACCGTTCAGTTGGGCCACCTATAATTTAAGTGTGAGATAAGACATTTTAGCCTGAGTTGCTCTCAAATTAATCCTTCGTAGTTCAGCGAGTCCACTGACACCTTGCCCTCCTCAAATGTTTCAGTTTTGTTTTTCACATTAATTGATTCTCTTTAATGACTACCACTGCTGTGAATATCAAGCAATTACAAGTCAGAATACAGAAAGAAGATAGAGGGCTTGGTGACATTGTGCATTGATAACAAGCTCTCTCTCAACATCGGCAAAACAAAAGAACTGATAATTGACTTCAGAAAGAACGGACAAGAACACGCCTCCATCTATGTGAACAGAGCGGAGGTTGAGAGCGTCAAGTTCCTAGGAGTGACAGTAACCGACAACCTGTCCTGGACTTCCAATGTAGATGCGATGGTCAAAAAGGCACAATAATGCCTCTTCTTCCTCAGGTAGCTTAAGAAATTCAGCATGTCCATACGGACCCTCACCAACCTTTACCATATAAAGCATCCTTTCAAGGTGCATTACAGCCTGGTAAGGCAACTGCTCTGCCCAGAATCGTAAGAAGCTGCAAAAGGTAGCCAGAAATCAAATCAAATCTTCCTTCGCTAAGAAGGAACTTACCATCTATCAATGGAAACTTTTTAAAAATAAGTATCGAAACATCATGAAAGAGGGATAATGAGGAGACTTTTTTTAAACCTAACAACATGCTTTGATCTGGAGTGCACTGGTGGAAGCAGATTCAGTGGGAACTTACAAAAGGGAATTGGATAAATACCTAAAAATAAATATTTTCAGGACAGTGGGGAAAGAGCAGGAGAGTAGGCCTAATTAAAATAGTTCTTTCAATGGACTAACAAAGGTATTATGGGTAGAATGTTATCCTTTTACACCAGAACGTTCTATGATCTCAGAATCCTGATATCTTTATAACAAATATGAATGCATTATTTCATTTTCAAATTGTAAAAAGAACTTTGCAAGTGTTTATCTTTGTTATTATTATTAATATTATTTGAAATATTGGAATAGATTTGACATTGTTCAAATTTGGAGCCTGCAATTTTTAAAAAAAAAATCAGTTTTATACATATAGCTGTATCAACAAGTGCCAGAAGTGATCAGACATGCTAAAAACCTTTACGACTTGATAGATTTCTGCATTCCAGCACTGAAATTACATATCTTGCCATTTGTTGAATTTAAGCATATGCTATTCTGGTCGATTCAGCAAGACAAGAGATAAGTTCATATAGTGAAACTGGTAATATTCTGGAAAATGGAACATAAATTAGACATTTTGAAGTCAGTAGGTGTCTCCACGACAAAGCAAGTGGAAACAAATTCCAACCATAATAGCAGGCATCTGTCATCAGATTAGATTTTATTTATAACACTCAAAATGGACAAATATTGCATTCTCGATATTTAGAGGATTGTTTCACAATTTAAAACTGAAATTGGACAGAAAAGGAAAATTGAAACAACACATAACATCTAATCATGGGGAAAATTGCCTATCGAACTTCCACTTAAAATCAATATTTATTGTATTTAAAACCATAATAACTGATGCTTTTTCTTCCGCAGAAAATAAGCGTAAGGAGTTGACATATGGCAGTGAGATATGTACATATAAAGCTGACAGTGGGCATTGCAAAGCTATAAACAAAAGATACTACTACAACATATTGACACAGAAATGTGAAGAATTTATCTACGGGGGATGTGGTGGAAATGAAAACAACTTTGAAACCATGAAAGAATGTCTGGCAAAGTGTAAAGTAAAAGGTAAGCTAATTAACCTCACTGTGTTTGTTCATATATAACACACCTTTTTGAATCTGGAAGTATAGAACAAATTGGGCTGATTTTTTTTTGAGTGTTGAACAAAAGATGCTGGGATTTGTTATTTCTCACCTGTAAACTTTCTTGGGGCTATGACACCGAAGGTCTTCGTCAGGCAACCAGCTAGAAAGCCCAACACCTTTGCATGGCATCTGGGACTTACATGAATGTGAAAACAACCGTGTATCTGAAACTGAAAAATATTAATGAACCTGCAAAGTTTGACCAAGGAGTTAAAGTTTGAATTGAATACAGAGAACGAAATAAGCTGAAAGAAAGATTTAGGTTAAAAGGGAGAGTGAATAGATACAGAAAGAAAAGGTTTTTAAAAATTAACATATCTTCTTCACCATCATAATTTAAGATATGAAAGAATGAAACTCCACAGTTGTGCAAGCTAATTTTTAGTACCAGAGAGGTTGTTTGGATGATGATGAGGATCTAGCACACTGCTAAATGAATACTTAGACTGGAAAGGACACATTGTCCCTGTTTTTCATTCCTGGATCAGGGTGCAGCTACATGGCTACCCGCACTTCAGATTTTCAGTCTCGGGTGCTTGCTTGCTTGATTGGGAATTGAGTGACAAGAAGCTGCACGGTTCCCAAGGTGAGCTAGGTGGAAAACCTGCCTGACACTGCATTTAAAGATTTTAAAGATAGCAGGGCACTCAGTCATCTCTCAATCCTTCATTTTCTGTGCACTATCCATGCCAACCTATGTCCATCTACTCCTCCTCAAGATTATTGACATACTGTGCTGGAGGTGGAGAAAGTGAATGTTGAAGGTGGTGAATGGGGTGACAATCAAGTGGGCTAATTTGTCCTTAATGTCAAGCTTCTTGAGTAAGTAGAGAGGTGCTCTCATTCGGGCAAGTGCAGAGTATCCTAGGACACTCCTTGTAGATGGTGGAATGTTTTCAGGAATGAGGAGGTACATCATTCATCAAAGAATTCCCAGACACCATATTTATGTAGCTGGCCCAGTTCAGTTTTTATGACTAGTGGTAGCCCACACATTTTGAAACTTCTAGACACATCTAGACAAGACTTGCTATGCCACTGTTTGGCACTCGTTGGCACTTCTTTGTAATGTTTGCATTAGTTGATAGGCCTTGTAAAATTAGACAGTTTCTAAGGGTTTAATGCAATATTTACACATGATGTTTTCTGTGGTCAACTGTCTTGATGGAAACCAGATCACCACTCCCTGCACTTGAACTGCCCCCTCCTACACCTCCAAAGGTGTCCTAGATCATATTGTGGGCTACTCTAGTTGTTCAAAAGAAATTGACTGAGAACAGACTTACTATTACCTGGTCTAACCTACACAGTCTGAGTTCCATAGTCTCTAGAGATTCCAAATCACTGGGGACAGAATGGACTTCGAATGCATCCCCCAAAATGAGTGAAGAGGCTTGGTTTGGGAGTGGCAGCTTTGACTCCAGACAAATTCTGACATTTCTTTTCACCACAGAGACACATATTCTCCTCCCTTGTCAGCCTTCCGCAGGCATGTTCCCACCGGGACACCCTGGTCCACACTTCCTTCACCCTCAACAACCCCCCTCAGCCCTACGGCACCTTTCCCTGTAACTGGTGAAGGTGCAACACCTGCCCATTTACCTCCTCCCTCCCCAGTATCCAAGGGCCCAAACATACCTTTCAGGTGAAGCAACACTTCACAGAATCTAGTCTACTGCATTCGCTGCTCACAATGTGGTCTCCTCTACATTGGGGAAACGAAGCGTAGACAGGGTGACCCTTCACAGAACGTGTACATTCTGCTGGCAAAAAAGACCCTGAGCTACCTGTTGCCTGCCACTTTAACACAACATCCTGCTCCCTGGCCAACATCTGTCTCTGGCTTGCTGCAGTGTTCCGGAGAAGCTCAGCGCAAGTTGGAAGAACAACACCTCATTTTCTGCTTGGGGACCCTGCAGCCCTCCGGACTCAATATTGAGCTCAATAATTTTAGGGCCTAAACTCTCCCATGTCCCAGCCCCCTACCCTACACACCAGGCCTTGTTACCACATAGCCTGCCATTACACACCCCCTGTTGTTAGTCACTAACAGTCTCCATTAACAACTATTCACCCTCCCAGCCTGATCGTTATCAACTCTTTGTCTATCCAACTGTTCTTCTCTCTCTTTAGGCCCTATCCTATCATTTACTCCCTATCCCATTCCCCTCCCTATCTTCTGCATATAAACTGATGTTTTCCCAGCCACCATCCGTTCTGAGGAAGGGTCACCGGACCCGAAACGTTAACTGTTTTCTCCTTCACAGATGCTGCCAGACCTGCTGAGCTTTTCCAGCAACATTGTTTTTGTCCCACTCTGTCCTGGTGTACATCGGGGCTGCCGTATATTTTTTGGCTCACTTAATTCAAATTGTTATGTCCTGTTGCTTCACACCATTCACTGCATTTAAATAGTGAATCAAAGGGTGAGGTGCCATTTTTCGGAAATGTCAAGAAGAACAGCACATGGCAGACAGAAAATCCCTGAATCGACGTTCAGCTCTATGTTGATCAGTGTTAGTTGTTAGCTGATTTACTCTTTAGTAGTTAAGGATGTTAAAAGGTGCTCACAATTTCTATCATGACATCTGGCCCATTGTTTTGTTGGTGTGTGAGGAATTCGAAAGTAATGGGCCAGAATTTGCTGTCAAGATAATAATGAGTCTAATGGTACTGTCTGTTATGCATGCAAAAACATTGGGGAGGTGATGGCCTAGTGGTCTTATCATTGGACTGTTAATTCAGAGACCCTGATAATGTTCTGGGGACCTGGGTTCAAATCCTGCCATGGCAGATGTTAGAAATTGAATTCAATAAATATCTGGAATTAAGAATCTAATGATGACCGTGAAAATCCATTGTTGATTGTCGGGGAAAAACCCATCTGGTTCACTAACACCCTTCAGGGAAGGAAACTGCCATCCTTACCTGGTCTGGCCTAATATGTGACTCCAGACCCACAGCAATGTGGTTGACTCTTAACTGCCCTCTGGGCAAATAGGGTTGGACAATTAAAGCTGGCCAGGCCAGCAACACCCTCATCCTGTCAATGAATTTAAAAAAAGGTGAGAGGCAAATGTGCAGCTAAACTTGTATATCCAAAATTTGTGGTCCAAATTGAGCTAATGGTGGAATGGCATTGTGAAAGAGGCATTATCTTTGCCTGCTTAACCATTGACATGTTAAATAATTACACGGTAAATATGAATTACATCACATTGCCACAGAGAGCTAGGTTGAGGCTTTTAGCCATGTTAATTACAGCAAAATAGTCTCTTTCACTTGAAAATTCAGAAGTAAAAGTGTATAAAGGTGATATCAAAAAGCATGTCAAATGAAAATCATTTTCTTAGAGCAATCATGTTATTCTGTTTAACTGTAATTACCATATTAACAGTCTATTGGCTGTCTTGAACCTAACTGGCCCAAAATCCTCTTTCTACTTCCTAATCTTTCCACTTCTCTCCTGTTCACTCTTTCCTGTCACCCACTTGTTCTCATGTCTCAAAACTCACTTAGAAATTTATGCAAAACAGGGTTGTTAAGACATACACAGTCAATGGCTGAATCAGGCTAGGAGTTGGTGAAAAGGGTGTGGAAGTGCTCCCAGTTATGTCAGAACAGTGGTCTTGTTCACCCTGCAAGGAAAGCCTTGGCTTCCCTTGCATTGGAATTGGCTCATTGCCTGCTGGTGTTTTATTCAGAGTTGTTTTCTTGTAGTATTTGCCAGTGTTGGTCTGCAATTGCCTTTTACTCTTTGGGGTTGGACAAAGAGACAGGTCTAGCTCAGATGCAACGGGAAGCAAACCTGTTGGTACTTTTCTGAACCAAATGCTAGTCATGTGACCTAAATGGTCTTCCTCCAGGTTACACTCAAACCTGAAATGCTTGTTTTCTCTTTAAAGACAATTGTGTACTGTATAATATGCATCAGCAAAGTACTAATCTTTTTTTTTTGCTTATTATTTCAAAGAGCAAAATTTCTATAAGATGAACTGGAACTCCAACATTAAATATATCTATTGGGTTATCAATTCAAATATTACCATTATCAGCCTGTCCAATATGTGCACTGTTGATGTTAGTAACCAAACCATAGACATCAAGCACAATCCATCTTAAAAACTGTTAATGTCACAATAGCATAACTGTCTGAAAATCTCAAATTACTCCTTTTTAGCTAGACATAAGACAACTGTCCTTGCTTCATCACAAACACCATCGTTGTGGACTCATTACTAAGTATGTCAGATGTTTGCTGCCTTAGTTGACTAACTCATCAGTTATAACAAAGTATTGCTAGAATCAAAAAATTACTTTTTCCTCTCAATTTGTTATACTGAAGATTTTTCTAGCCACATAGCACATGATTTTCAGAAGCACAAACCCTCTGTAATGATTGAAATTTATTTTTAAGTGATGAGACCATTTAGCTTAGATCAAATGGGGGGAAAAAAATCTGTTGCTAATCTTTCGCCCCTTTTTCTGAAATCACTCATTTAGTGCACACTGTATTTAAAATCTTGTTTAATGTCATTTTGTTTTGCTTGAATGCATTTTGACTGAACAGTATAAAATCATTCGCTGACATTGACTATTTCAAGCTAACTATATACACCTCCTCCCAGAGAAACAGCACTGCTAACTCATTTCTGCTGACCATTTACTTTCTGCCTGCTAACAGGAGGTCATTGAATCAGTGCAAAAGTTGGAACTTAAAGTACACAGCATGAGAGGCTGGATTAACACAAACTCTAAAACCCATGGCAACACATTCAGGAACTGGATCGTTCTTCTTGCATTCCATGAAATTTGTGCCATAAATCATACTGTTTTGCTAAACAATGACTAAACTTCTCAGCTTCATGACTTAAATTTTGGCAACTAAAATGCATGCAGCTGTAAATTTTGAAGAGAAGC